TGGCACAAAAACAGAGAGGTAGATGTATGGAATAGAATAGAGAGCCAACAGATGAATCCAGTCACCTACCATTATCTTATCTTTGACAAGCCAATTAAAAATATTGAGTGGGGGAAAAGATTCTCTATTTAACAATTGGTGCTGGGCTAACCGGCTGGCGACCTGTAGACCCACACCTTTCACCATTAACTAAGATAGACTCTCACTGGATTAAAGATTGAAACTTAAGGCATGAAACTATGAAAATACTAGATGAAAGTGTAGGGAAAACACTTGAAAAAATTGTCTTGGATGAAAATTTTATGAGGAGGACCCCTTGGACAATTGAAGCAACGTCCAAAATAACTTTTGGGATCTAATGAAACTTAAAAGTTTCTGCACAGCCGAGAACACAGTACATAAAGCGGGTAGACATCCCTCAGAATGGGAGAAGATATTTGTTGGTTATGTCTCCAACAAAGGTTTAATAACCAGAATCCACAGAGAACTCAAACGTATTAGCAAGAAAAAAACAAGCGATCCCATCTCAGGGTGGGCAAGGGACTTGAATAGAAATTTCTTTAAAGAAGATAGGTGCATGGCCTACAGATATATGAGAAAATGCTCTCCATCCCTAATCATCAGAGAAAGGCAAATCAAAACTACTTTGAGGTATCACCTAACCCCAGTAAGATTAGCCCATATCACAAAATCCCCAAACCAGAGATGTTGGCGTGGATGTGGAGAAAGGGAACACTTCTACACTTCTAATGGGAATGCAAATTAATTCGTTCCCTTTGGAAAGACATCTGGAGAACACTGAGAGAACTAAAAGTAGACCTGCCATTTGATCCTGCAATTCCTTTATTAGGTATATATCCAGAAGACCAAAAATCAAATTACAACAAAGATATTTGTATCAGAATATTTATTGAAGCCCAACTCATAATTGCTAGGTCATGGAAGAAGCCCAAGTGCCCATCGACCCACGAATGGATCAATAAATCGTGGTATATGTACACCATGGAACATTATGCAGCCCTAAAGAAAGATGGAGATGGAGGCTGAGCAAGATGGTGGAGGGGATGCATCCCTGGGTCAACTCTCCTAGTGGTTTCGGGTGAGAGTGGGGGGCTTGATCTTTTCCCACGTGAAGTGCTGGCAAGACAAGCAGTGCAGGGCATGCAGCAAGGAGGTGAAATGCTGGATTGAAAGTGTAGCCCAGAACTACAGTGTCTGCCAGAAAAAACTCAGGGCTGCAGCTGATATGGCCCAAGCTGCAACCTGTGGCAGCTGCGACCATGGCGCCAGGTCTGCGGCTGGTGCCCTGAGAGCCAGAAACCAATCCCTCCCCTACAAAGGACTTCTGTGCCCAATTCGTGGGGAGTTTGGGTATTTCATGGAGAGTGTGGTGAGGTGTGGATTCCTGAGTGGAATTTGGCAGCCAGAAAGGGGATCCATTTGGACCTGGTTTGGGAAGTCAGGGATCCAGGCAATTGGACAGAAACTTGAGGGGAAGGGACTCTGCTTAGGAACTGATCTGTCCTGTAATTTTGGAAGTCTCTATGGAGCTGTACTGACGACCCACAGGAGGAATTGGTTCCCTTCCTAGGAACACTGAAAAATCTTTTGTGTGCGCTGTGGTAGCGGGAACTAGAAGTAACCAGCCCCACACCCAGCAGAAATGGACTGAAAGTAGAGGGCGTAAAAAGCACCCAGCTCTTTTCCCATGGACCACAACAATTTCCTGGTTGAGGGGAAACTAGGAGTTCAGTGGAAAATCTGGCGAAGTGTGGATTCGTGTGCCGAGTTTGTAGGACAGATAGGAGTGGGCGGCCATCCAGGAACCAGATGTAATATAAAACTCCAAAAATGGTGTCTCCATAGCATCTCTCCCAGAAGCTCAGAGAGCTCAATCTGACCTGCAGCCAGCCATCCGGCATCCGAAGCTAATCCAAGACACCTAACACTTTGCAGGAACTATTGTAGGGAGAATCTGTGCAACCTGCCAGCAAAGACCCCCCTCTTTTTTCTAATTTATTTTCTATTTATTTATTTATTTGGTTTTAGCCTGGGAACCACTCACAGCGCCACCTGCTGTCTAGAAAGTATATTGCAGCATACTTATATTTCCATTAAACTGGAACCCCACTGCATTTATAAAGGGGTTTGTTTGTATATATTCAAAAGAACAGTATCTTTCTTAGTGGTGCCCTCCTTTTCTTTTTTTTTAAATTTTCTTTCTTCTTTGTGTGTTTGTTTGTTTTGCTTTTTGTTTTCTCTATCATTTTATGACCACCATTTATG